GGCGGGGTGTGGGGGGGGGGTGTGGGGTGTGTCCCTGCCCCCCAGCAGGTTTGCTTAATTCCATTTACGTGAATTACGGGTGTTCCAGTCTCTTCAGCATGTCTGTTCCCCCTCCACAGCTCCATCTCACCCTGGGCAGGCTCCCGTTCATAATTTAATTTACAAGGATTTCCAGTCTGACTCCAGCCCCTTGTCCCTGGAACTCTACAGAGGAGCAGAACCTGAAGTTTTATACTCTGAAGACATGGAATTGAGTTTAGAAAGGAAAGTGTTGTAATTTCATGTAAAACATTCTGTTCACGGCAGCTTTTGTTAAATTGCAAACTTGAATCCAAGGTCGCAGAAGAACTTCCAGAAGCAGGGTGGTGGGGTTTTTGCACCAGTTTAACTGTCCAGACCTGGGGTTTGAGTCACAGGTGTCTCTTTAAACTGTCAGGTGCAGCAGTGTCTTCCAAAGCAAAGGCGTGTTTCTGATCGATAACCTTACAATTGCATCAAATATTTAATGGTGTGGTCCGCTCTTGTGCACTCAGAGGAGTGAAGGGCAGCACTGTCCGTGTGCTGTACTCATACAGAGACTTCTGGCAATATGATTTAAATAAAGTGTGAATGACAAAAGAATTCGATTTTTCTTGAATAAGGATTCTCAGTACAGATTCCATTGTAAAACAGTTCTGAAGCAAGTCCTAAGTTACTTATTAACAGGCTGAGCAATAAAAAAGAGTCACTTAAGTACAGTTGTCTGCAACCATGCGTAAACAAACGTGAGGTGTCTTCCTTCCCATGCCTGGTAATGCCAGTGCAACCCGGCTGGAAACCATCAGCTCCGCTCTGTACTCACAAACATTTAGAATAAGCAGTAGGCAAGGGGTGGGAGTAGTTCTTAAATTTCTTTTTTTCCCCCCCCAAAAAACTCCCAGACTTACCAAGTGTATTTTACACAGAAGCTTGTTTTGGCTTTTTTTCTAGAAGTCTTACAAGTAACAGACTGAAACAATGCATGAGAAAGTCATGGCAATTTCACTGGAGCTTTATTGCCTCTGTTGGTAATGAGGGATTGTAAGAAGTTACATTTGAACTTACAGAGATATGTAAATGATTTTATTTTTTTTTTACTAAATATAATCTCAAGATTAAGTGTTCTTATATCAGGGCACTTCTAATTTTGTACACATTTAATGTATAAAAACAGGTTACAAACAATGTTTGCTTTTTTTTTTTTTCTCAACATTTGGCAAAATTAAATCGATCCATTTCAGGGGAGACCGTCAAATTGAAGACATAAGCACTTACGAATTAAAGCAATCCAAGTAAGCAACTGTCCGCATTCTTAAAAAAAAGAAAAACCACACAAATATATAAAGGAAAAACACATGGCCACATCTGAGCACATTTCAATACAAAATATTCCCTGTAAGCAGGCATTTTGTCCTTAGAACAACACCCTGTTAATGTTTCTTTCAACTTCAGTCACTCATTTTGAAAAACTTTTTAAGATGCCATCATAGCACAAATAACCCTTTTCTGCAACACAATTAGTCAGAGTTTTATGTATTTCTTTATAATTACACAGTAATTATAAGCGTGTAGTACCAAACTGATGACAACACTATTTTGTTGAAAAGACCTTGCATTCAAAAGGAAGATTCTTTAAAACGCCACGGCATTACGCCACGACCCCATCTCAGACTTCTTTCGAGGGACGAGTCCACATCGGGATAAAAAGCAAGTCAGTTCTCCTCTCCCGTCACAGCATACTCGAACTGATCAATCCGAAACGGTACCAAAACCCTCCAGACAGAAAACAGCAGGCAGCAGAGATACTTTGCAGAACGTTTTTTCCAACCCACCCACCCCCTCCCCGTAATTTCAAGTCCCCGTTTCTATTTACACAAAATCGAGAAAGGAAATGTTGAAAGCAGCAAAAACACACCTTTCTCTTTTTGGCCTGGCCCATTCCAGTAGCTGGAGAAAGTTTGCAACGCTCTTGTGGAACTGTACTCCTGAAATAAACACACGCTGGGATTTTCTGAAAAGGGCACTGCTGTAAGGGGAGCTAGCCTTACGGTCAGCTTCAGAGTATAAATAAAAAACTTTTAATGGTTTAATAGCAGTTTTTTTCCCTAAAATACTTCTAGCATCTGCATAAAAGCATTCCACTGTTTAGTACAAGTACCAATTAGTCATTTCAAAAATAATTCTGGCCTTATGGGACTATTTAGAGCACTGACTTAACCCTCCACCCTTACTTGAAGCTCTAGTCTTTCTTTTCTCCTGGGGCTTGGCGTGCTCCAGCTTGTTGTACAGAGCAGTGTTAGCAAATCACAAGGAACTGAGCGAGGAGTAAAAGACCGTGTTTAGCACAAAAGCAGCTCAAGCTCTTGTATGAAAGAACTGCATCTGATAAAACCTGGTTTGAACGAAAGGAACTTCATTTAGTTAAAGTAAACAGTAAGAAGTGGTGATGGTCGACAAAATAATTTAAGAAAAGAAAGACGGGAGTATTTCATATCTGATCTGGGCTTGTCTGGGAAAGTTTTACTCTTAATTTCTAGATTTGGCAACAACAGCAATATGTCAATTTAAGGAAAACTCAACAAAATAATTAAAGGATGGGTGTCATCCATAGTGGCAGTACCTCTATGTTATAAAGACTTAACTTACGTCTCAGGATAATGGTTTCAAAACCTAGATTCACACCAAACTCATCGGCTTCTTGTACAACAGGGCCATTTGTTTCATCATCCCTCAACCATAAAAATTACGTGTCTCGATTTAAAATACTGTATTGTGTAGCAAACATTTAAGACACAAATTCAGTATATTCAAGTTTCTAGATTTCCACAGAAATGAAAAACCTTTCTTTGACAGACAGATAAGCATTTCAAAACTGTAATGAAATCTGATTTCTTAGATAATAACCTAGAAAGTATGAGATTCTATCAGGATGCACGCAGCTTATCTCAATGACGCTCACTGAAGGCTGACTCGAACATGAAACACGGGTGCTTGAAGTGCACAGCAGTTGTGTCGTACTTCAACTGTCCCCACGCGCAGCTGAGGTACAATCAAACCATTCAGACAGGCACCCAGATACCCCAGTATCAACAACCTCGGGTTTGCTTGGTTATTTCTGTAATTGTTTTTACCAGATACTCAAACTCACTCAGACAATTCCTGTACTCTTCCAGAAAAGGAAAAAAAAAAAAAGAAAAATTATCGGACCCAGTACACTTAAATATATCACTCTGACAGGAAGTGCTATCAATACAGTCTTTGCAACTAGCCCCAAGTGTATATTTAAGGATTCTTTTAAAAATTGTTTCGATGTTGATCTGTATAATTCGGATGCCATACAACTGTTGTCTAATGATGACCAGCATTGTGCTTTATGTGAAACCAGAAACCTCCAAATAATTATAAAGCTTCTAGGACTTATGGGAGATGAAACTAGGGTGGTCCACAAAAAAAAAAAAAAAAAGTAGTAATAAAATCCATGATGAAATCCACAATGTTGGAATTTTAACGGGCAAGAGTGGTCCAGACTAGAAGAAAAGCCCAAACCACCAGTAGAAGAATGAAACATGATATGGTCCAAGATGTATCCTTAAAGGTTTGTCTCAACCCTCAGCCACACCGTGAGGATTGATCTTCAGTTCAGTCCAGCCAGCAGAAATTGACTGTGCAATTTTCCATTTCAGGTATTTGTACAGACTATGTACACTCTAGAAGGGTCCTTTAGTGCTACACTGTCGTACTTTTTGTCCCAGCAATTTGAGGGCGTGCAAATTCCACAAAGTCATCAATAAGAACTGGCCATGCCCCTAAAAGAAAAGAAAGACCAGAACGTAAGAACTCAGTTCGACAAGGCATTCATTTTAAAGCTTCAGATCTAAGCAAGTTATTTACTTTCCAGTCTTAACTAGGCACAGTTTCAAGCAAAAAAAACCCAAAAAATGTAACTTGATTTTCTTGCTTGAAATTTAAGACCTGGTTAAAGATTGCTACTTCCTTTAAATCCAGTTAATAGACATCCCTTTCAGCGGCCACACTTCCTTCGACTTCCTGACCAAAATTGGGGAGAGGGAAAGCTGACAAAAATTCTAGCTTAAAACTGTTCTGGTTTGGGCACAAGAACTTGATCTCCGGGATGGCAACATCTGCTTAAAAATGCTGAGCGTCGGATGAAGCTGTCTATGCCGTTCCCCTCTCCTGCTCACAATTTGATTGTGCACGAATGCAACGCCCGTCTGTTAGAACCTGCATCCTGAGCTATGCCTGAAACAGCAAAAGGCTCTCTGTGAGCCAGCCACACCGTGTGGCGCCCCAGAAGGCTGGTTATTACACTACACATGTGCTCTTCCATATTCCTTATCGAGAGGTAGTTGAGCTGTATATAGGAATTTTACATATTACGTGCAGCCATATCCAAAGGGGTCATCAGTCACATGTATGACAGTTATGTAAAGGCTAAAAACTGAGAGCTGCTCTTCTTTCCCCCTCCCCGCCTTAAAATGTTTCTATGCCAACTCATTAGAAGATGTCTTCTGCCTTTAATCTTTCTAAACTATTTATTGTGGGCAGTAGCCCATTTGCTCAATGATAAGGAATGAGAACTGCGTGTAATTATTAAATAAAGTTGTAGAAGTTTGCTCCCCTCCGCTCTGGAAGTATCAGAAATTTACAGTTTCCTCCACTCACTGACTGATCTGCCGCCAACGACTGAAGGTAATTAGCTGTTCTTGGCTACAGACAGACTGGAAGGGGAAAGATCAATACAAAAGTTTGCAAGAAACACATTTGTTAGGACATAACTTATGTCTTAGCAATCCTTGCGTGCTGCCAGCTTCCCTTTCATAGTACTACATGTCCACATAAACTGAAGCAACTGAACTTAAAAGATACTCTCAGCTGAGAAATGTGATAACCAGAGGACCCCACAAAGAAATGGCCAGGCCTTAATTGAAGAAGCCAAGAACTGCGCTGACAGAACTCCTGTTTTTTAAATGGACAAATCTGAGTTTGTCTCAGTAAGAAAAAATCAGTATTTGAGCTCAGACAGAAGAAAATGGATTTAGGAAAGGTTCAGCATTTCCTTTTGAAAGCTGTAGCAACAGATGATGGCAACATGCATTAAAGTAGCTCTAACGACTTTTAGATCATGCCTGATACCCTAATCATGCCTCTGTTAGACAGCGGTACCAAAGCAGATACACAGGAATAAATGTTGCATCAAACACAGTTAGAATCAATGAAAGAAAATGGAAATGTTTACCTTCCTCATCGTAGTTAGACATATCATCTGCTATCATTGTACTAAAGTCTAGAAGAAGGTTCCAGGTATCCTTAGGAATTGATCTTTTATGATGCTCCTGTTAAGAGAGGTGGAAAACTCATGTTAAAATAAAATAATTAGAAACCCCTTATACACATTCATTTTTACTGTCTTGGACACATGCATATCCCCAAAACATGCTTCCCTTGTACACACTATGAAGTGCAGTACCTGGCACCTGGGTCAAAATAGTCTAGTCCATCTACTCAATACTTTAAACATATTCGTCTTCCAAGTTTGAAAATACTGGAGGGGCAGTTTATGTAAAGATTTAAACTTACCAACAAAAATTTGTTCCACAAGTCTAGAAATTTAAATCTTCCATTAAGTACTAAATTCCAGTAGGCAATGGCCATTTCTAAATCTGTAATATTAAAATACATTACTTTCAGAGATACACATTTCAAATATATCATCTCCACAGGCTTCTAACACTAAGGTGAACCATGTATTTGTAAAGGTGAAAATATTAACATAATGCAAATATACTCATAGATACTTTACCAAAAGGCACAAATATTTTATAGATTACGATACTATATAGGTACTATACATATATTTGAATAGAGAATATCTAAAATATCTAAAACACACAAGGATATTTCATATGCCCTTTTCTATGTAAGAATAGTTTAGTTAAAATTCAGTAAAATATTCTTGTCTTAGCAATGCTATTGACCTGAAAAGAAAATCTAATATTTTGAAGTAAGATCTGCTTTAATATTCTTATTACACAAAATATAATTAACCTAAAACTAGCTTTTTATTATTTTATTTTTAGAACCACCTTGTTACAGGCGCTGGCTTTGTACCATGGCTTTTGTCAAGTGTTCATTTCTGCAATCACATTTCCTTTTTTTGTCGTTGTCGTTTTGTTTGTTGGTTTTTGTTTTCCAAAGGCTCCCGCTAAGCTCTTGCTTTTTTTGACTCTGTTTCTCAGGAACCTGAATTGACACAGGTCAGGAACAAGAACAACCTCCTGCCTGTCAGGCAACTGCTGGCACCCGGCGGGGGCTGCTCTAGTGCAGTAGTTACAAAGAGACTGGTCAGTCTAGCATGTAAGGGAAAAAACCCAAAACAGAACTTGCCTTCCTGGTATTGCCCAAAGGCTCCACTGATGTGCACTTGCTGTTTATTTGTGGCATACAGTAACGTGTCAGCTGATAAAACGTTACATATCCGAGTTCTACACCTCAGCCTCGCGGCCCTCCAACACCAGGAGTGAACAAGGACCCTGTGCTGTGTGACAAAACGCTCCTCGGGGTGACCTTGCTGCCCCCGGTACCCATCGCGGAGAACTGGCAGCAACCCCAAGAGGCTACTTAGTTTAAGCGACCTCTTTTTTCACAAAAGCTCTTACGTATTTTGCAGTCTAGCAATTCTCTTCCATAAACAACCCTCTCGTCAGAGCAGAGAGAAGAGGCACATGATCAGCTGCACCTCAGGAAAAAAAAAACAAAACCAAAAAACCCAACAACCCATGAAAACCACTCCCTTCCGCCCAAACCGTTGAAAAAACCAGGGAGGTGGATCTTAGAGGTGAAAGCGAACAGAAGGAAGCATGAACTTTGTGTCACTGGAGAGAAAATAGGTGGTGATGGGAGGGAGTTTCGGAGCTGGTTAGTATCTTTGATACCAAAAGTGCTTCTCAAATAGCATATTCCCATTATAATGCTTCCTGACCAAAGTAAAGAATAAAAATTGTGGAGGATTTCCAGCTGCTGCAAAGAGATTTCATAGAAAACGGAGTGTTTGAGTTTCAAGAGGCACAAATTAAAGAGAAGTCACTACTCAGTAAATAAGCTGTATGTGAAAATGGCAACTTATTAACGAGTCTAAAGGCAAGATATCTCTCTAACAGAAGATTCAGATACAAAAATACACACTTCAGCTTTGAACTCAAACTACTGTCTTTCTACAAATGAATAGATACAAACTTCAGATTCAGCTGATTGGTTCCTCAAGGAAAGAAATCAGAAAACTAAGTTTTAATTACTTGTGCTGCATTAACAGCAGATACGCAAAAAAAACCCACAAGGTCATCAAGTGGCTGCATATTTACAGTGGTTTATAAACAAACACTATAAATACACTCTGCATTTCGACATGTGCATAACAATTTTGAGATTATTCTTGTGGGTAAGCAAAAGTCTAAAAAAAAAAAAAAATCTTGGTGTGCTGCAACTTCAAACTCACTATAGGAGTCCAAACATGAAAAGCAGGAAGGCATAATGCCTTAGGACAAACTACATGTTTTAAAAAAAATTTTACAGAATCACAAAACTGGAAAGTAAATATATAATTTTAGGTATTCATATGAAAGGGAAAGAATGCACAGGGAAGTCCTCATGGATGAAATACAAAAGTCTCAAAATCTGTGCTCCATTTTGAGTTTTATCCAGAGAGATGCGAGAGAAGCAAACCATGTTTGAGATGAACACTAGCTAAAAGGTATTCTCAAATGCTATGCAAATATCACACAAACCTTTAAGACAGCCACAGGACTTACACAGCAGTCAGGAATTATGCACAGGAAACCTATTTACAGAACTGCACCTGAGCTACTGCACGGCGTTTGGAAGATTAGAGACCAATATACATTAAAATCAATTTGCAAGTTCCTACAAGCAGTCATTTAGACACTCCAAAGTTAATTGCCTAACTAGGAGCACTTACTTTTCACCACTGTATCTCTCCCAGTATTCTTTTGCTTCAGGGTTTCCAGAATTAGTCTGCCCTATCATAAATTTATGCCTAGAACTGTGTATTTATTGGCACCAAACAAGCTGGCAAGTATCCAGGTTTTAAACTGAGTTCTACATCACTTCCAGACCCAGACATAAAAAAAAAACAGAAACAAATCAAAAAAAAAGAGGCACCACCAAAAAAAACCACACCAAAACCACCCCTAACTTTTATATTAAGTACATGCTACATGGATCTCAGAAAATTGTATGTATCTTTGTCACTGTTACAGTTTAATCTGCTTGAAGAAGCTTCAATGAGAAATAAAGTAAGGGACGTAGTTTTCCTGGTAAATGAGTTTTACTGTTGTCTGTTCCATCTGGGATACTTAAAAGATTCATTTTATACACAGCTTGGCGGGGGGGAGGACAGAATTCAGAAAAAAATGCAAATCCTCCTTATACCTTACAAATATGGAGAAGAAAAGAAGAGGCAAGTACTCCATCAAACAGTTCTGTTATTCTGAAGCTTTGAGAAAATTTAATTAAAAATCACCATGCAACTATGATAGCACTGTAATCTGTCATTTCACTTTTACCACCTTAGAGGGATTCTCCAAAATAGTCCTTGTTATGTAAAGGTGTGTAAAGATCAAAAACAACATACAAATGCTACAACAGTAACCATAAAAAAATAAAACTAAACCAAAGCCCTGCAACCAGTCACATTAATGGCAGAACTGACTCCACGCTGACACTCTCCATAACCTAACTTCTATCTTCTCAAAATTCAGCTACTGTCCATCTTTTCCTTGTTGGAGCAGCCTAAAAATATCATATGACTTTCTACAAGAAATAAGGATCACCTCATTCATTTATTTGCAGTATTCAGATCTGACTACATGCATGCACAAGGATTTTCAAATAGTTCAGCAGTTTGTCCGTTGTTAGGAAAATGTGATGACAATGAAACTCGTAAGCCAATCGAAAATAAAACCCAAGATACAGAAAAATGTTAAAGAAGGACACAGAGTCAAAACTAAGACACAGAGTCAAAACTAAGACACACAGCTTTTGCTTATTTACTTATTTTTCAATATCCTTTTTAAGCCAGAAGTTGGACCACATATAAAAGGCAGCGAAACCAAAGCAGGATGCTCATCTCCTCACAGCACACGAATGCCAAGGTGGGCAGTGGCTTTCACCTTAAGGCATTTTCATCACTGAGAAAAATAAAGCAGCAAGCTGCCACGCAATAATTACTAGCCTTCCAGTATTTTATTTCTTCTCACACAGAACAGTTAGCAGTTAGAGAGTCATAAAATACCAGTTATGGCTAATATCTCAGCTACACTGTATATAAGGGAATATGCATTCCAGCTGGTTAACGTTACTGCTTGCAAGCAATGTTTGCTTCCTCATTTTTGCTGTTTTGACTAGACAGATCTGCAGTTTGTTCATTTAGTTCCATCAGAACTGTGGTGTTCTGCCATTATTTTTAATAAGTGATTCTTCCACTTCACCTCATATGCTAATCAAAAAGCACAATCAGCAGAAGAGCTCTGAAATAATGAAAAAAAAAATTCAGTGAGCCGAGGGGGAGAAAAAAGGCTGTAGATAGGCACCTATTACCAATGGCAAAACAACATCAGGCATCAAGCCCAGGATATGGAAATCTATTTGTACTATTCCAATTCTATTTTACCATGACATTTGCAAGCATTTTTGGTGTTACAAGAGATTGTACAAGTGTACTTAAGAAATCAGTTTTACAGCTCAAATTTATCCTAAAAGTGAAAATTCAATTAAACTGTTCAGTGCTGCAAATTCTAAGTAGCATAACTAGGCCTTTAATGAAAGGCCATAACCCGTTCTGCTTACTGAGAACTGCGCACACTCTTAGTGAAAGAAGAAACCCTCTCTCATAAAATTGTCTAGTATTAACAATGCAGATGTTTCTATCAATTTCAACCCTCTAAATTGACATCTATCCTTCACAGCGGCGAGATGTATTCTATCCCAAGGGTGGGTATCTTTCAGACTCACTGGATCACAATAATACTTTCATTTACTGCTTTCATCCAGTCACTTGCCATATTTAAAAACAAACATTTACAATTAAGAATACGTACCTAAACCTTTCTGTCCCGGATTCTTTGCAAAGTTGAAAGTAAACTGATAAAAATCCTTAAATCTTCCTGGCTCTTTTAATTCTTGTTCCATTTTAGGAATCTGGGCCTTCAGTTTTTCTATGCTGTCACACCTGCATTTTAAAAAACACATTTATTTGTGTACCATTCATTTTGCTATAAGGTGCAAGTTATAAGTTAAAAATTTACACATTTTTGTGCAGAATACAATTATCTAAACTAAATTCGGGAAGCCTTTAATTAGTCTGCACCTATACAACAACTTCATTTATTGGTTGTTATTTCTTCACATTGCCATTTGCACATAACTGGCTGATACACCATATTCTATAACCCACAAGATTTTTAGAGAAATGTGATAAAGACAACTACATTGTCAGAAGGCAGCGCAAGCCCAGGTATGCCAGGCTGCAGACCAACAGCCTTGCTTCACCTCCCCGAGCAGCTCAGTGGCAGCGACCTGTGTGACCTACCCCAGGTGATCCTGCTCTGGAGGGGGGTTGGACCAGATGATCTTCCGAGGTCCCTTCCAACCCCCAACATTCTGTGATTCTGTGAAATACTCACGCAAGCAAGACAAGTAGCACTCGAGGTTGCCTCCCTTTTTTTGGTCACTAAGCATCTGGCGTAGACATCAGATGCATTTTTACAGAGGCAGACAAGTGATGCTAGACTCCAAAAAGTCTCTGAAGTCTGAAAGGACAATGTGATTGTGAATTCCCCAACACAGGGCTGTTTCACCCGACGTTCCAGTTTCCAGCACTGGATTCCACTGTGCGTGTCCAATATGTACTGCACACTTACCCTAACTCAGTCATTCCATCCATGAATTCCAGCTTTGAAAATTCGCACTGTGTTGCAGCTCGAAATTTCCATGCGATGATGAGTACAGTAATGCTGGCTGGGTCAAGAGCTAGATCATCACAAAACTGCTGTATACCATCTATACCAATTTTATTTTCATCTTGAGGATCTTTGGGATATAAAAGTAAGTATCAAGAAAAACAGACTTTTGAAAAAGCTCATTTATTCAACAAGTGTATTTAAGATAAGTAAACATTTTCAAGAAGCCATTTTTGGGATCAGCCCTTATAAGTGAATACTTTGAAAACTAAAATCAGTATTTTCAACGGTTAAGCTTTAACAGTTGAGGCAGTGACTACAATAAAGCCTTCCATACAATGAAGATTATGTAATTTTCCCTGAGAGACAAACGCCCTACAAACATTTGTTTTCTGCCTAATAATATGCAGGATATTCAGACTCATTCCATCCAGAGAACAGCAGTCCTTTCCCACCAGCACACGTAATTACTGGCACCTTTGGCAAGACTGACGACCTGCGTATCATTATAAAGAATTCTGCAGTGCCCCTTTGCAAGCTGGACTGATACAATCATTAAATATGCCCCCAAACTACTAAGTCAATGTCAGTCTTATGCATTTTCTAGCATGGCCAGCATGCATGAGACCGGGCACGGTAACCTCCAGGAGGGAAGTTACGCTGCCCCATTACCGATTCCAAGTCAGCCAGGCTCAATCCTCTTTTCGTGAAGGAATCAACACCTGGTCTGGGAGTGAGATGCTCACATTTCAAGTGCACTAACAAAGATCTCCTAACATAAGCCAACAAAGACTTCAGGAAAATGGTATTTGGATTATGCATGCATATGAAAACTGACAGAAGACGTAGCACTCATTTCTAGATTTTTCTGCAGTGCTAAAAGACTGGATTTGTTTTACTGTACTGAATCCACTTTGCTATTTGTGGTAGAATAACATCAGTTGAACATTGTCTATATAACAGATAAAGGGACTTTCTCTTCTGCTCTGTTTTTAACCACTGGATAATAAGCACAAGGTGAATAAAAATTGAGGTTGAATCTATCCTTGGTATGTAACCTCTCACTTTGTCAGGAGTGAGTCCTGAGTGATGTGCTTTTCCCAGAAGTATCACCTAAAAACAACATAAACTGATTATAGCTACTCACTGTACACACAATTCCAGTTCTAGACCCAAATCTTGTATAAATGTCCATGTATTTAGAGCACATAAAGTAACTGCATGTAATCCTGGTGAAGCAGAAGCATACATCTAATTCCCCTTCTAACGTGTATTATTAGTAACAGAAGAACAAAGCTGAAAGGCTTGGTTAAGACTTCCAAACACAAGAGCACAGCTGTGGTGACACATTGTAAGTAAGAATACACGCAAACAACTAAAAAATAGGCCTTAAAATACAGGATACTCACCTTTGTATCTGTTATATAGTTGTTCTAACTTCTTTCTGTCCAGTGATCCTTTAACGCTCTCTCGTATATAAAGTTCAGGATTTTGGAAAAAGTTGTCTGTTGCAACATCTAACTTCCAGTCATTTTGAGACAGACAACTCACTGCTGTCTTTTCACTAGATTGTGTGAAGACCATAAACTGACGCACTTTATCCTTCTGTGATGATTTCAACTTGTTCTAGTAAAAACAGACAATACTGTAACTAGAAATGTTTTACTGGACCAAAAGAAAGAAAAAAAAAAGAAAAAAAAAATCAGTATTGCTGTTCTGTGGTTGTTTTCTTTTAATCAGTGCCTTTTATAATTTTCTCAAGCAATTAGCCTTCCTCTTACTGATGGGGCAGTTAGACATTCAAACCAACACTTATTTTCTCTTTTATTTATAAAAAAAATTAATTAAATTTACCTTCACTCTAGGTACTTTACACTGCAACAAAAGCAAGTTAAATTTTGCTAGCAAAACAATTGCAGGAATAAAAAGAATGGGTACTCTTATTGCATATTTGGAAACAGAGCTGAAGATCATAGCAAATTCATGTCACCCATTTCAGGAAGCTACACCCTGAAATAGCTTAGGTTTGGGGGGTTTGGAGCTTTTTGAGATCTTTCACTTTGAAGACGCTCAACTCTGCCTACATAATTTGCAAAACATTCCTGTGAGGAGGCATTGTCTCCATTTCACAGGTGCAGCAACTGAAGCTAAAAAATAAAAATAGGTTTTTAAAAAAGGATAATTTTGCCAGAGGCAGGCAGGGGAGCGAGTAGCCAAGGTGAGAGTTCTGGAATTTCAGGCCTCCTGCCCAGACGCTGAGACATCCCTCTCTGCTCTAATGCAAAACCAAATGGAGAACTTGCTGCCCGGTAATTTATCAGCATAGATGGATTCCCAAGGACGTTTTTGAAGAGGAGAAGCACACGGGGTATTTCAAGGGCACTCGTTTCTCAAAACTAACTGCCAATGAGAAAAAAGTGATCCTGCAGCTCTTGCACTAAATCCAAATTCAGTTCTAAAGTTCAGTCAATATATTCAAAGCCAAAAGACTCCTAATGATAAAACTTGGTAAATAAAAGTTCTCACTTTTAAGTCAGGATTGAACTTCTTACACAGCACAAATATTTCACTTCTAGTTTACCTTGCATTCTAACCAAAACTTGTATATTCTGTTCAGTATAGTAATTTCCAAGTGCATGGCTCCGTCTCAGGGAATAGGGGGAAACAAGGCCAAAAAAAAAAAATCTCTAGATGTGATAAACTATCCTCAGCCAAAGAATGATTGGTTTAGGAGCAGTACGAGGTCAAGCACTTCATTCCAAAGGATAATTAGTGTCCAATCACGTTATCATTAAAAAAAAAGAACTAATGCTTCAGAACACAAATTCATCTGCCCTGAAAGTCAAAATCAGTTTTCTGCTGTTGATGACAGTCAATGTGAACTGTTATGAATTCATAAGAGTAGCGAAGTCACCAGCTTAAGAGACACCTTTATAAATAAAACAATAAAGAGCATCACATTTGACTTAAACTGATATTCACATAATATACTAAACATAGGAGTACCCTTTAATTTAAGATCTCTTTAAGAAAAAAAACATTCCCCAAAACCAAAATGACACTACACATGCAACACTTCACTGAAGCAAAAATTCTAGCGCTCACTACCCTCTAGAACACAGTTAGGCTATACTACTTTTAAAGTTACAATGTGCTGCTGCTTTATTTCCTGAATAAGTTTCTCACGTGGGACCTTTTGCAACAAACACCTTACTGAAACTCAGCAGGACTGGTTCCAGGGAAAGGTCAAGCCATGAGAGCAGGTCTTGCAAAGAGCCGCTGCTGACAACTGGTGCCCGCTTCGAATTTCACAGCAGCACCTTAGAGTGCTGAGCAAAAACTTCCACAAAAATCACTGATGCTGACACAGCCACACGGAATGACTTCCAAAAAGGACTGCTGGACTTTTAGTTGCAGGTTTTGAAAATATATTGTAAAGTCAAGCAAATTAAAATAAACCATTGAATAAAATCCCAAACGAAGATAAAACACTCCCAAGTCTCAGTATTTCTGTATCAGTTACCAGGTTCCACAAATCAGCTTCACACAGCCAGGCTGCTGCAGCACCTTGCTCAGCTGCACTATAGAGCACAGTCACGCTTACAACCTTATCTTTTCTTCTTTTTTCCTATTTTTTTTTAAAAAGCTGGTGTCTTCTGTTTAACTTGTACACATAAGTAGCACAGTGCTTTTACTAGTGAGGATTCCATACACGTTCAAAGAACCTTTGTTCTGCCCTGCTCCTGCAAGGGTAAACTCTAAAAGCAGTGACACGCCACACAACAACAGGGCAAGGAACAGGTTTCAAAGGGCTTTACCACAGATGCCCAAGACCACACAAGGTAGTGCGTTTTGAATGTTGTCACATAAAAGAATGCAATTTTAACAGATCCAAAAACTGCAGCTTAAATCACTTTTATTATAAAACTTAAATCCCAAATATGCACATATCCTGTGCTTGGGGCTCCCTAGGTGATCATAACAATACGAACTCTTTTTTAAACACAGAACACTGAGTTTGTCAAAAGTCAAGCAGCTGATGTCACTATTCAATAGAGCATGCAATAATATATTAAGATGTAATAACTCACACTGTTCATCCATAATATTTTTATGGAATAACTATATTTTTATTGTTCAAATATGAGTTTATTTTTAGTGAAGAAATGTCCAAGCCCTTTCTTTATATCTGATGAATGTTTCCACAGAAGTTTGCCAATGTAGACGAGACACTCCACATCCCAAGTGACTGGACAACTCTCTGAAGGCCTACCATGGAAGAGCAAGAAATAAAACTGCTGCTGACTTTTCATTATCCTATTATAGCTCTTCTTTCATCACATTAAAACCCCATACTTCAAGCAGGAACAGGTTCCAAGCCTTCTGCACTTTTAAGGGCTATTCTAGAAGCTGAGCTTTAACAGTCTATTATTGTTTTAAGTGTCCAATACAGAAGCCAGAGCACCCTATAACCTTTAATCCCATAGTCACCAGGCCACAAACACCTTACGCTGCAACTGTCCATACTGTAATGCAATGCAATCCCTCTAAATTATCTCAACACTAGTTAAAAAGCACGACAAAATTTTATTTAACAGAGACCTGTCTTGCTAAAATATACAAGTGAAAAGCAATGGAAAAACAAATGCAACAGGATTTCTACTAAGTCTTACCCCTTGGGATGAGGGGAAAAGGAAAAATTCAGATCTGCAAGCCTTTGCTCCAAGCTTGGGTGGTACTCAAACTGCCTTTCTTAATGAGCATGTCAGAAGATATTTAAGGTGAACTTAACTTTTAAAGAACAAACTAACTTCTGCAAATTAAAAGCTACATTATGTAGGTTCATAAAACTACAATTACTCTAATGGATGTCTGATGCTATAACAGTGATTTTTGAAATTTTCCTCTCCTCATGAAGTACCAAATTTCATAATTCTAATTCAATAACCCATCCTTGATCAGATACTTCAAGGAGAGATTAAAAATAAAAATTAAATAAAACCCTCAGGCTTTTTTGTCCTCAAGTTTGTGAGTTTTTCCTGGCCTCAGACTGAAACTCCTCCCCATACAGGTGAATAAACCTTCACAGTCTAGGGAAAAAAAAAGTGCTAGAACCGATCTGCCAACTTCGACTACATGAATGTTTTTCCGTATCTTCTATGCTCAGTTTTTAGTCACCTGGGATTCAGCTCTGCACACTGGGGCATCAACATTTTCTAGATAGTTAATAGCCCTGTGAGTGCTCCCCTCTCCATGGGAAACAGTAACAACCTTCACCCCACACTGCCAAAACCTTGTTCTCGGGCCTTGCTCAAAGGTTCCATGTGGCCAGACAAGCAGTGTACCATTAATTTGAAGTATCGCTGCCCAAAATCCCTTAAGACCCCCCGAAGAAGGCATTCACACAGCTACTCCTTGTGAGTAACAGCTTTCCACCTTTCCCAGTCCCAGCCAGCACTTACAGATGAATTGATTCCTGGTAGTTTCACTGCTAACTAAAGGAATTTGAACGATGTGACATTGGTGCTTTTGTTTCAGTCAGGACTCAGAGAAAAAGGCTGTTAAGTTCTCATGCATGTGACAGCTAAAAGCCTTTCCTAAAACAGTATCAACCTCCGCAAAGTCTAGGCTTTTACGCTAACTGCGTTTGAACTCTAGCAAGAGATCTGGTTGCAGGAAGCATCCTTGCATTTTCAAAGCACCCCAGTGGCATCCACTCAAACACGAGTAACTTCAGCCCGCACGCAGAAGAACAGGCTCGTGCACACAATAACCTTAGAGATCAGGAGTCCCGGTTCTGTCGTGTCTTTATGCAACACTAATGCTCAAGAAAATATTGCTCCCTTAGAGTGTCTGAATCACTCCATGTTGGGCTATATCCCTTAAAGGAACACACAAGACACCTGCAAATAATCTGGTTTACTGTTTGTAGTCAATAAATACATAGTTAAAGCTTAAAAGGCAAAATCAGGAGCTATTTTCTTTATTTCGTAAGAAAACAAGTTAATCACAACAACCGAAATCTATTAATACACTGAAGTACCTTTTAATCCACCAACTGCGATAGTATACATGTATACTACCAACACACCCATAAAATACAAGTTAGAGACAAAAACGATTAAGTAGCCATAGTTTCTGCACAATCTAAACAAACACACCCTTCAATTACATTCTACTTTCTACAGAAGTTTCTTGAAAATATGACATGCAAAGTAAGACTGTCAAGACATTTTGAAGCTTCTGTTTCAAACTGATGTGAAATCCACCTGTCTGCAGTGGAACAGAACAAAACTTAAAAACTTACGAAGTCTGTTGAGATATAAGATCATAAAATGCTTAAGGCTGGAAGGCACCTCGGAGATCATCCAGTTCCAACCCCCCTGCTATGGGCAGGGACACCTCTCTCCCACTAGACCAGGTTGCTCCAAGCCCCATCCAGCCTGGCCTTGAACATTTCCAGGGATGAGGCATCCACAGCCTTCTTGGGCAACCTGTTCCAGTGCTTCACCACTCTCATGGTGAAGAAGTTTTCCTTATATCTAACTTAAATCTACCCTCTTGCAGTTTCAGGCCATTTTCCCTTGTCCTATCACTACAGGCGCTTGTAAAAAGTCCTT